TACAGTTCTAGTGAATTGTATGATGTTTTGGTAAAACTTTCTTCTAGTAGATCATTTTATAGTAAAAAAATCACTTATATTATTCTTCCATGCCTTGGTTAAAACATGAGTTATTGAATGATTGATTTTGTTGTTGTTGTCGGTGTTAGTGGAATTTAGTGATGCAAAGTATTGTCGCATTTTAACCTCTAAAGTGCACAACCTCTAGGAGTTGTTAGTCCATCCCTAGTGTTTTGTGTAGTCCATGATGTGTCATCTAGGTGTGGTAGAGTAAGTTTTCAAATTAACAACCATACATCACATATTTGATACGCTTTAAGTTTAGTCACCTGATTGTAAATATTTACTTGGTTTGGCTGTTGTGAAACAGGTGAAAATGAATTCCCTCAATTGAATTATCTATAGTTTACTAATTGAAAATAATTTTACATTTGAATAAAGTGTGTGAGTGAGATACTTGTAGCCCTCTGCATCTCAATCACCACATGTTTAAATTAATAACTTTCTTTGTTTGAGAAAATTTATCCAACATAGTTTTTTCCTTAACTAAAAGATGTGGAGTCCTCCCCAGTTTCCTCACATCAACTGTTCTAGAAACCATGAGGACATAATTGGTCTCAAGCATATTCGAGTTCTCTTTTTTGTATTCTATATGTTAGTTAGCATTTGAAACAGAAAAGTTAGGCTTTGTCAATTTCTGCTTCTTATTTTTTCCTGGTAAGAAACATAATTTTGAAATGTGGCTTTGTCTTATCAGAATCTTTATTTAGTTCATTAGGAGATTTTTTTTATTTTTTTACTTGTGTTTTTCATGGTGCTGCTTTTTAGAAAGCGGGTTTTGATATTTGAAAATTGAAAATGTAGGCATTGAGTTTTTGATGTATCAGAAAACAGTTACATCATTCACCTTGGCTTGGATGGCACTCGTCTTTTTAATTGTAGTTACAAGCTTCTGATGTATAGAGCTCTTTTGATTGAACAGGTGTGTCAGATTTGCAACAGAGGTTGCTGGGGTTCAGGACCTTGGCATGTTAGGTCGTGGCAGCGGAGAGGAAATTGGGACTTATGTCGAAAAACTTATGACAAGTGAGCTTTCTGGAAATGTGATAGATATCTGTCCTGTGGGAGCCCTAACCTCAAAACCGTTTGCATTTAAAGCCCGAAATTGGGAATTAAAGGGAACAGAGACCATTGATATTACTGATGCCGTTGGATCCAACATTCGAATTGATAGCCGAGGTCCAGAGGTCTTGCGCATTGTCCCACGATTAAATGAGGTAGTTTTTGTTAGACTACTGCTGATGATTATTATCCCTGAGACTAGCTTTCTTTTCCGCAATACTAATATATGCCAAAGATGCTTTAACATAACTTTAAAACTTACATACACTAACATTTTTAGCATACAATGTAAGGGCTGATGGTACTCATTTTTAATTTCTCAAATACGTGTTTCTTCAAATAAAAAATGTATAATAAGTAAAGTTGTCCCAAGTGTTTCTGTTAAAAAAGAAGTTTTTTGAGGGACTTTTTATGGTTATTAAGGATACAAATTGTTTGATACAACTAAATTGCTACGAGTTACTTGATGGACCGTGCATACCTAAATTTTTTACCCATAAATGCAAGAACACTATCCATAACATTTTAATTGCAACCTAATCTTAAGTCCTGATAATTCAATAGAGCTACCTTTGGACTACCCAAAACATTTTAATTGCAACCTAACCTTAAGTCCGGGTGAAGAAATTTATCCTAGTTTGATCTTAGTGTTAACCTTGAATGCCTGCACCTGTCATGTTTCAATCTGGTCTCGGTTATTTAAATCTATCTCCACCATCTTGAGTCCATATATTTTGTTTTAATTTTGCCTTCTGCTAATAAATCTGCAAGTCGCCCATATTTTTAAATTCTTCTTTAACACCAATTGAGATATCAAATTACATGCACGTCATAAAATTTGCCAATCTACTTGAGTGCACTAGCACCTCTTATGAATAGACACTGAAGTTTAAAATGTGTGGGTGTTGTCCTCCACCCTTTTATAGTAATCCTTCCTTTGTATAATATATTTGCTTACCACCACTTGCAGGACATAAATGAAGAATGGATATCAGACAAGACTCGATTCTGTTATGATGGTTTGAAGAGGCAGAGGTTAAATGACCCTATGATTCGTGGTGCTGATGGGCGCTTTAAGCCTGTGAGCTGGCGTGATGCACTTGCTGTAGTTGCCGAGATGGCTCATCAAGTTAAACCAGAGGAGATCGTTGGGGTTGCTGGTCAGCTATCTGATGCTGAGTCTATGATGGCACTGAAAGACTTCTTAAATAAAATGGGGTCAAACAATGTCTGGTGTGAAGCAAATGGTTCGAACTGTGATGCTGATCTTCGATCCGGATATATTATGAATAGTACCATTGCTGGTCTTGAGAAAGCAGATGCTTTTCTGTTGGTTGGTACCCAGGTATGTTTCTAGCCATCTAATCTTAGTTTCTGCAGTCCTGTGCAAGTGATTTGCACCTGTCTCTTACATGTTTGTATGACATGCTAAAGATTTGTGGATGCGTGAGTGGATTAATTGTGTTTTTAAGTATAATCGCGTAGAGTAATTCATACTTTCATATTATGTTTACCAGCCAAGGGTAGAAGCTGCTATTGTAAATGCTAGAATCCGGAAGACGGTGCAAGCTAATCACGCCAAGGTTGGGTACGTTGGCCCTCCAGCTGATTTCAACTACGATCATGAGCATCTCGGCACAGGCCCTCAGACACTTCTAGAAATTGCTGAACGTCGTCACCCATTTTCCTCGGTCCTCACAAATGCTAAAAACCCTGCCATCGTTGTTGGTGCTGGGGTCTTTGAGAGAAAAGACAAGGATGCAATTTTTTCTGCTGTTGAAGCCATGGGAAAATACGCTAATGTTGTAAGGCCTGATTGGAATGGATTCAATGTACTGCTTCTCAAAGCCGCCCAGGCTGCAGCACTTGACCTTGGGCTTGTGCCAGAATCTGAAAACAGCATCGAGTCTGCAAAGTTTGTTTACCTGATGGGCGCTGATGATACCAACTTGGAGAAGGTTCCAAGTGATGCATTTGTGGTTTATCAAGGGCATCATGGAGACCGAGGTGTGTATCGTGCTAACGTCATCCTTCCTGCAGCAGCATTCAGTGAAAAGGAAGGAACATACGTAAACACTGAAGGGTGCTCACAGCAAACAGTACCTGCAGTTCCGACTGTCGGTGATGCCAGGGATGACTGGAAGATAATTCGGGCTCTATCTGAGGTGGCAGGCGTGCGGCTGCCATATGATACGCTTGGGGCAATCCGATCCCGGATCAGGACAGTGGCACCAAACATTTTGCAAGTAGACGAGAGAGAGCCAGCTACCTTTTCATTATCGATTAAGCCCAAATCCACTCAGAAAGTGGATACCACTCCATTTGGGACTGCAGTTGAGAATTTCTACATGACCGATTCGATCACCAGGGCTTCGAAGATAATGGCACAATGCAGTTCGTTGCTCCTGAAGAAGTGATGAGTGGATTTTTGTTATTTGAATAAAGTCGCAGATTCACATGTTTTTCTCCTGTTATGTTTATTGGGTTTTGTAAGGCCCTGTTCGGCCAGAGTTGGAAGTACTTCCAATAAAACTACTTTTAGGCTTCTGTTTCATTGTAATTCAAATGAGATGTAATAGCATTTTCTCTGTACAACTGTTTGCATATATAATTTGGGATTTTTCATTCCATTTTTGTTTCATGTTTATTGAATATACGCAACTGAAATTCCTCACCACCTTCACCGGCTCAAAGTTGAAGAATAAACAAAAACAATGCCAGCTAAACTCAAAAGTTTTTGATGCGGCTAAGTTGGCTAAAACAGTGTGCTCCGTAGAGAGTTTCAGCTATTGCTATGGAGGCTGTCGAAGAGATAGAACAAATGATCTCTTGCAGTTCTATCGATATAGGTGAAGATCAGTTTGGTCACCAAAATCACACCTTTCCGAAACCAATTTTTGATGCAATTGAAAAGGAAGTTCTCAATTGAAAGAAAGAAAAATTGATTTCCCCCTTACAATGATTAAAACAATGAATGAATCTGAATAGGTTGAAACAGGATTGCACACTTGTCGTGGGATTGTAACTCAAATGACTAATATCACGTACGTAACTCCGTGACAATGCGTACGCACATGATTGCTCGATTGTCGATGACATGGACCTAGGAACTCACCCCTTAGGTTCATAGATTAGTAGTTATGTAAAACCGACTAGGTTAAGAAAAAAAGAGTAATGCTAGATAAGCCAACTTTTAAGATCAAATTTGTAAACCATGTGATATATCACCAAATTCCCATTTATTCTTTCCCGACCGCTTAGGGTTATAGAGTTTGGCACCAATTGTGCTTGGATCAAATCGTATACGAGACTACTGACAGATCCGCATAGGAGCCAATATATGCAATTGCCCCCCTCACCACTTGTTTCTGGTTCTGGCCTGCTGGCCATGCCTTGATTTGGTCTTGTATGTTAGTGATTGTCTCTCTTAATAAATTTAATAAATTTGGTCTTTCATAAGGACACCACAGAAGAGACCAATTGGGCTTGATGGTCGTGAATTTTTAGATTGGCCATGTTACAAACTATTGACAAGATCATGTTATAAACTATTCTTGCTTATTAGAGAGGCCGACTCGAACTCAACTGCAAATAGTAAACAGTGGAAATATTCTTCTGACTAAACGCTCGTTTGAAAGTGTTTATTAAATAATGTGAAACACTCTTGGTGAAATTGTCTTTGGCCTCCAAAAGCGTTATGTAGGAATCACTTTAATTGTTTTTCCAATATCTACTTGCTTTTTTTAGTAAAGATCAATTCCAAAAACACTTTCTTCAAAAGTGATTTCGATCATTTTAAAAATACTTCCAAACGAGTCATAACTGACATAAAATTAACCTGATGATTAACCATATGAAAATCATGTAACTCATATATCTTAAACAATTACATACATAAAACATCAAAAGTAGGCCTACAAATCGCAACAGACACACTCCGTCCCTCCTATCTCTTGCACTTTATTACTTATTCAAAAGTCAACACTATAAACAAAGGGAAAACTGCAATACCTGTTAGCAGCGCATATGAAACAGCAATAGTAAGCAAGCAAGCCCTCCCCCCGCATAAGAGTATGAGATGAGAGTTTCGTTCAGCTTTTTCTTTATCCTCGAAGAAGAAGACTGACCCCAAACGAAATTGTGCACCCTATAAGCCCGAATATAGCCAAGAACCCGTATTTCCTATCATTTTACAATAACAATGTGTAAATTAAGTGTGATATGTTATGGTGCTGGTCACATAATAAAAATTTGTATTTTTGATAAATGAAATCTTATTGATCTGAATATATTATCGGTCAATATTTACAATCTAATAACATAAAATATCATGCGAGATAGATATTATCAAAAGAATATGGCTTAAAATTGCGCATATATATATATATGCTAAACAAACCCTAAGGCCTCGTTTAGTGAGAGGATGTACATTGTAGGATTATTCACACTAAAATGACAAACTTTTCTTTACAAGTAACTTTAAATTTGGACAAAACGAAAAAAATTGTCATCTACTTCTTCATTCAAAATACATTCAATATAGTAAATAATTCCAAAATAAATCCCTTTTTAACAGACGAGGACTAATAGTTCATCTACACTCCCATCTCAAATTTCTCGATACCTCCATTTCTCTATTATGAAAATGAGGTGAGTGCATAATGAGTACCAATTAAAATCCATTTAGTTTGATTTCACCTTACAACATTATTATCACTACGAATCGCACCCCTTTATCATGATGCTTTTATATTAAATGGTAAATTTTTTTTCTATTTTGTTGAGTTCCAAATTAAACGGATCTTTACCGATATCCAATAGCAACCTAATAAATTGATTTACCACGTCTACATACGACTATTCTAAAATACGAATGACAAATATACCCGATGGCGAGGCGGTTTATGGGGTCACCGGTGGCGTAGCCCTTGAAGTAGAAATAGCGAGTGAAAGTGAAGAGGAAACCAAGCGCGGCGGAGATGCAAGGATGCTTAAGACCTCCCAACACCAGAAGCACAAACAACATAGGCATCATTTCGAGAGAGTTCTGATGGCCTCTCTGCACACAGTTGAACACTTTTGCATCTTTGTTCTCCGATTCCGACGCATACATGGTCGGATACGGCACCTTGTACCTGCGGCGGTGGTGACCATTTCCAATTAATTGACGATAAACGATAATCAATTTGACAAACGATAATGGTAATTATGCTGACGAGAGAGAGATTCGAACGTAGCTACAAAGGCTACAAAGGTGAATCACTCAGCTCTAACCAACTCGATTAACTCGATTCCAAACAAATAAAGATGGAATAATTACGCTAAATTCATTTACACTGTAGGAGAGATATTCAAACATAACTACACAGGTAGATCACACAACTTTAGCCAACTCAACTAACTCAATTTCAAAAAACTAACAATAGATGATAATAAATTTGACTAAATAGGATAATTATGCTAAATTTAAGTACACTCCGAGAGAGAGAGAAAGATTCGAACTCAGCTACAAATGCAGATCACACGATTTTAACCAACTCACTAACTCAATTCCAAATAGTTAACAATAAATTTGACAAACGATATAATAACTACGCTAAATTCATCTGAAATACGACAAAAGAGTTTCAAATTAAACACAAAACTCAAACTAAAATCGTGCTAATTTAGTCAACTCGACTAAACTGAGGAAAGGAAGAAAAGATTTATGCATACCTTTTTCTGGCCCTGCCAACTTTGGCGGCCATGCAGAAATTGAGAAAAGTGTAGAGAACGACGGCGAGGACTACATAGCCGTATTCTTTGGGCAGCAATTCGACTGCAGAAGCCATTTTTTCTTCTTCTCTTCTTCACATGGGTTTAATTTGGACATTGGGGTATCCACCTTTACCAGTCTTATACTTGTTTGCCGACTTTTTCTCCAAGACAACTCTAGAGTTTAATATTTCTACAGTCTAATACAGAGGGCTACTTTGCTCACTGCTGATGCTCACTTTCATTGATGTTGTTAGATTCGTTTGATATAATTGTTTTAACAAAATTGTTATTTTTCCTTAAAAAAATATCATCATTTATTATTATTTTTTCACGAGACCGTATATGTTGGTGAGTTCTATTTTTATTAGAGAGATGATACACATAATAGTACAAATAGAAGTGTAGCACTACTCTTAATTTAATACACAAAACTTAAGATCTAAACTAGAGATTTAACGGTGGTGCATTTTTGCTCATCACCCTAAAGAATGGTAGTGCTCATCACCTATTTAGATGAATATAAATTTTGACTTCTGTTTATTTACTGTACAAATATCAAAATTTAAATTTATCTAACGATAATAAATATGGTGTTGAACATCGCCATCACTTGAATTAGTGAGCAAAAATATTCCCATAAGGGTTGAGGAAAAATGCACTCACCAAGTGGGTTGACCCCAAACAACAAAATAAAAAGATAAAAATACATGCTTGTGTAACAAGTACATTAATTTTTTAGAGTAGGAGTGGTTGGTTTTCGTGATCGACTTTTCCTCCATGCCATCCCTTTATCTTTGACATTTTTTATTTCAATCTTTATCTTTGACATTAACTCCAATCAATTTTCCAAAGAGTAATATTTTATGCAACTCTAAAACGGCCACACACGTGCCTTTCACGTGCTAATTCCATTGAAAAAGTAGCAGAACTACATTATTGATTGTCTTCAAATTCTAACAATTTCTAAATTACATGATTTAATGACTCATTTGAAGTATTTTTAAAATAATTGAAAATATTATAAAGACATGATTTTTAAGTTCCAAAAGTTAAAATGCATCATGTAAGAAACATCGGTTATGTGTTTATTTCACAAAACAATTTAAGTATTTTTCTAGAACTTACATACATTTTTATTAAAGATTGATTATAAAAAGATTTTCACAAATCCAAATGGGCTCTAAATTGCAACAATTGTAACTACAAGGACGAAAGTAGACGTTTTCTACAAGTACCAAAATCATACATTTGGCCAAAACAAAAGGAACAAGAGAACAAAACAAAAGGGGAGACGAAAACAACACAAGAAAGTAGCCATTACATACAAAGATACAAGCCATAAAATTCCACATAAACATTGTAAAATCCCTAGAGGCAGAGGGCCTAAGAGCAACTCTACCGTTGCAAAGGCCCTCTAGGGCAAGTCACTATTGAATAGCCTATAATGAACAGTAACTGTCTTAATGAACAGTAACTGTCTTTTGCATCTCCACCCCTTCACTGAATAGCCCTGACAATAGGCAATAAAATATTAGTATTTTTTTATTTTATAAAATAATACAAAATAATTTTATTTGTAATTTCGGATATGATTTTTAATAGGTCTCGTTGTACCACGTGTCATTAAATAAAAAATTACAACCCAAAGTATTTAAGAAAATATAAAATTATGGTGTAAGTTGGAAGATAATGATAACATACTTATAGAAAATTAAATCAATTTATTTTTTTTGGATTTTTTTAATTAAAATTTTACTTTTTTTTTAATTAATTTTTTATATTGTGGCTGACATCACCATGACATTAGCCTTGCATCACATGGCCTTTGGGCTGGCAACTCGTGTCGGGCCTCTCCCTCTAGCCTCGCCAGCACATGCTAGATCAAGTTGCTTGGGCTTTCTGGTCCTGTTTGAGAGCCAGTCCATCGGGCTATTGCCCACGGTGAAACTGCTCTAAACGTACGATGACGACTTAGCCTATGTTTTGCAGAGTTTGCACTTCTGACTGCGACGCAATTCCTGATTGATTGTGTTAGACTTCCCAATTTTTCCCGTCGAAATACTTAATCTCAACGCAAGTGAGTGTTCCAGGATCAACACACCTAAACGTGATTGTGACCCCATCAGGGTTCTCGCGTTGATAATAGAATGAAGTTATCCCACAAACTTTACAGAACATGTGCTTTGTAGTATGAGTACCGAAGGTGTTGGTTGTAAGAAACTGCTCAGAATCACCCCAAAGTTTAAATCTTTCAGCAGGGACAACGAAAGCGATGGTACCCCTTATAGAGCAATTCGAGCAGTTGCAACTCGTAGCCACAACACTGCTAGGTGCCTTCACTCGCCATCTTACATTCTTGCAGTGGCACCCGCCTTCATGTACTACCATTGTAGAGTCCATGTGTGACAGCCCGTCCCGTATTATCATTTTCGAAAGTGTGAAATTACTAAATACCCTTAAACGTTTTAAAGAATTAGAACTTTAGGGTTTGTTTAATTACCCTAGTTTTTAAGCGTGGATGATTTTTGTACGTTTTGTTTGCTCGTGTTTGAAAGATTGTGGCTTGTGGACCACATACACTCATGGGATACAGAGAAACCATCCCTTTTTCTTCTTCTTTCCCGTGATTCCCTCAAACACTCACTCTCACTCTCTCTCTCTCCCTTCGAACACTCTCTCTCTCTCTCTTCATACGGACCATCATCAAAGTTCATCAAAACTTCACAGATCGAAGAAACAAAGATCACCATCGTCTTCGTCTCGTCGATACGAGTTCATCCATACCTATTTCAGGTAAGAACTTCAACGTTTTCACGTCCAACCACTCACCTCCGAGTTTGACACTATTCATCAACTTTGTATTGGTTGATTTTTAGGAGTTTTCAAGCTTGTAGGAAGCTTCTTGAGGTCCTTAGGAGGCTCGGCGTAGTTCGTTGGAGGTTTTTGGACGTAAGAATATCGAGATCGAAAAGTTCAAGTTTGACCCGTGCCTTTCGAGTCGTTTTCCGGCCAAACCACGGAGAGTTAGACGTCGTGCGAGGTACCATTCTCTTCGTCTCTTCGAGAAATACAACTTTCGTTTTTGTTTCACCCAATTTCGTTGAGTATTAAAGAAGTTATACTCATTTGAATCTTACCCAGTTTCCGGCGAGTCCGACGGCTTTCGAGGCTTTTTACGGTGAATTATCGGCGATTTAAGGGTCGAGAAGGGTATAGATATGTTTGTCTCGTCAATATCTTCAGTTTGATATAAAGTACGTTGAAAATGGTGAAGAAATGACAAAGTTATGGCAATTTGAAAAACTGCCCAGAAACCGGCGAAACCAGTCCGGCGAGCCGAGGAAGAAGACGCGCGTGGGCGCGCGTGGACCGCCACTTTGGGCGGCGCGTGGGGGCGCGTCCGGCATCCGACCGGCGCGTGGTTTGTACGTACGCGTTAGTGTCGTCGAGTAGATCGATTTCATATATTTATACCCTAGGTTTGAGCAAATTATGAGCGTTTTATTTAGGTTTCCGTTATGTGCTTTAATTAATGTTATTTAGTTATTTCATATATAGGGGAAACTTATTCCGAGGATTTTCGAGGCCAAGCTAGGCTCGGGGGCTACGATTTAACGACGTACTTGTGAGTGGGTAGTTGTTTATACCTATATATATTTATAGTTTCCATAAATGCGTATTTACTTCATTTTTACGCCTATATTGCCTAGTATCATTATTATGATATAAATTGTGATAAATGCTGCTATATGGTTGTGATATTACTGTCATGGCATCATACATACTTGTGTACATGCTCATCTTGCTGCACCTGGTGTTAGTACTCGCCCCAGGGCCAGGGCCAGTCCTTCACGTGTATGTTCACATCCGCACCGTTCGCTCACCTTGGATCCAAGTTTAGGTGCCAGTCTTGTCGGGTAGATTGCATTAGGCGATCTGACTTGTATGTGATGTGCTTTTGCACCAGTTTTCACGTGATCGTAGTACTAGAGCATATTGATTACACCCAGTCCTGTTCGTGTCAGAAACCATCTGTCCAAACTTGTGTGTCAGCTTAGATGGATGAGCACTTAGTTGTATTGATTATCACTTGATTATTATTGTGGCATATGATACATCATTGACTTGGCATAATTCTGGTTATATGGTTTATATATATTGGATTTCATACTTACGTAGTATGTTTTGAGGAAATTATACTTGTTTTACGGCGAGGGGTTAGTATATTCAAAGATAAAGGTTTTCTTATAAGCATTGTTTTACTGACCCACTCAATTTTGTTTTGCGCCCCTCCATGTATAAGATAACAGAGCTTTGGTGGCCACGAGGAATCCAACGATGTTCTGATAGAATTCATAAAAGTAGGACTCACCCTCGGGTGTTTCATCTTAGTAATTGTATTCTTTAAAGCTTTCGAAATGTGTAAATGGTTACGTCACTCTCACGTGACGGCCAACATGCCCTCCTTCGGGATGGGGTGTGCCACCATGCCTCACGATTTTAAGTCTTCAACAGCGCTAATGAACAGGATTATTTCTTCGAATTTCTAAATGCACACTGACACACCCCGATCCTAAAATCAAGGCGTGATGGCCATCAAGTGAGCGTGACGTAGCCAAAAGTGCGACACGGAAGCAAGAGATAATAGAAATATGAAGGAATTTAAACCAACCACTAGCAGTAATAACCTACTAGCATAAAAGAGTGAGTTCTAAAGTAAAACACACGAATTCAGGGCGTAGGTATCAAGTGCAGTCTAGTAGGACTATAATTAAAAGTACAACACCTGCAGGTGAGTCCTACATGCAGAACGTCTATCAGAACGCCGAAAAGACCTCGTGAGCAACCAACTGCTAACTAGAACCTGGAGGGGCCCAAAACAAAGATGAGTGGGTCAGTAAAATCAAAGATTTTCCAAAACATTTCCTTTAAAACATTTCTAACCCCTCACCGTAAAACCTATATACTTTTCCAGAAATTTATTATAAAACATATATACATATATCATCAAACTCAGCTCACAATCTTTCAAAGCTTTTCAGAAAGAATATGCCATGCCATGCCATGCCAAAATATAATATGAATGCATTGATATAAATCAGGTGAAATAATAAATCAACCGGAGACTCTACAAT